TCGAGAGATTAGGATTGGATGCAAGTGTTATCGAAGGAGAAATTGTAATATAAATAAAATAAAATTTATATTATTAATTTTTGCATTTAATATATTTATTTATGTTTTTCACAAATAATAATAAAATAAAATGTTTTTTGATGTATATATATTATTATATTATTTATCTATAGGATGATTGATGTATTATATATTGTTTATAGAAAGAATAATGTCTAAATTTTTTTTAAATATTATATAAAATTAAGATTAATTATACAAATGTTGGAAATATTAATTATAAATAATAGTAATAATAATAATATTTATGTATGTGTGTTTGATTGAAGATTAATTAGTAATTATAATATATTTTTTGATTTATACTGGTAATTTAGCACCTGTTAATTTATCTACAAACTAAGGACAAAAGAAAACAAATAATTAATCAGTCAATTAATTATTTAATTATTTAATTAATTATTTGTTTGATTTATCTATTCATTATGAATTTTATTTTACCTGTGCAATTCCTGGTGCACTAAGTATATTTCCAATTAAAGGAATTCTTCTAAGAACTCTTACTATAACTGGGAAAAAATCACTAAGAATCAATTGTAATAATGATGTTATTATTATTAAAGTTAATGATCTTGTATAATTAATTCAAAGTATCAATTAAGAATAGTTTTTTTTTCTATTTACCCAAATAAATTGAAAACCCCAAAAAGTTCAATAATTATTCCTAGGAAAGGCCATTTAACAAATACCAATACAATCCCACCAAAGAAACATATGGTTCCACGAATTTTATCTTTACGTGAAAAAAAAGCAATCGTTTTATCAAATCCTATAATTAATAATATTCCTGATAAAAATAGTATCTTTAATAATATATTTTATAAAGGGAAAATAAATTAACGAATGACTAATTAAGTTTATCAAAAAAAAGTTATTATTTAAAATTAAAATATGAAAACATACATTTCCGATTGCCAATAAGCCACCATCAAAGAATAACACAACACCAAGGAACATAAATAATGTTCCGAATGCTGTTAAACCAACTCCAATCTCTTTATATTTAATAGAAAACAAATATTGTTAGGAATCGTTGTGATTACAGAAAAGGAAAATCTGTTGAAATTTACATACTTTGAGTATCTGATAGCCACATCTTGAATTATAAAAAAATAATTTTTTAAAGAAAAAAAAAAATATAATAATAAAAAAACGTGCCCAATTTTGAGTTGGCTGTCAATTAAATTATTACTATTATAAAAATTTACTATTATTATAATTATTATTTTACCGAATCCGAATCAAGTACTAGTACGACATAACGTTAGAATTAATTTTTGATCAAGAATTCATTCATTCATTATTTTATTTATTTATTTATTTATTTATTATTTATTTATTTATTATAAAATACAATGTATTCTTTAGCTTCTAAACTTTATAATAGTGTATTCAGCGATCCCACCGAACAAAATTCTGCAGTGGACAATGAGCAAGAAAGTGATGTAAAGATAGAGGCGACTTCTTCAAATTCAACCAACAATCCTGAAATCGATGTACCCATAATTATTAATTCAAATCTTGTAATCTCGGTTAATGATGGTAGAAAACACTTTTATACATACATACATATACACGCATGGTCCAAACCGACGTGATTAACTACTAATTTTGTTGTTAATTATAACAGAGTCAACAACAACATTTCCAATGATAAATAGTCCACAACGTGCCAGTTCACCAATAAATACATCAGCATCATCATTATCATCATCATCACTAACAGTAAGCAAGTCTAAAAAGTTGACTCCTATAGAGAAATCTAATAAATTGCGGAAAAAAATTATACTAGAACCTGGACATTCACCTCTCGATTGGGCAAAACTTAAGAGTAGTGGAGTCGATTTAAAAGTAAGATTTATTATATGTTTGTTTGAACGGGGATTGCTAATTAATTTATGACTTGTATTTTTTATTATTAGGGAGTTTCAGAAATAAGAAATTATACACTTGAAGAATTAAAGAAACATAATAGAAGAGATGATGCATGGTCAGCGTATAATGGAAAGATATATAACATTACTCCATATATAAAATTTCATCCTGGTGGTTAGTATAGAAATGGATGGCGTATTTTTTAATGTAGTTTTCAAATTAATAAGATAAGATGGCAATGGGAATTAAATTTATGTGATGTGTAAAAAAAGAAGAAATTAATTAAAAAATCTTTGTAACTGAAAATTTTTAGGCGAAAAAGAATTAATGCGAGGAGCAGGAAAGGATGGAACAAAATTATTTAGTAAGCAGGCTCATTTGATAAATAATTTTTTTTATCATTTTGTTTTTTGAAAAGATGGATGAGAAAAATTAATCTTATTTATTTATTAATCAGTGGATATTCATGCATGGATTAATTATGAATTAATGTTGGATGAATGTTTTGTTGGATATCTAGTTGGTGGAAGTCATAATTTATTAGTTGGATAAAAAGATTTTTCAAAGAATAAAAACAATTATAAGTTATAAAATTTATAAAATTAAAAAGCTTTATTTCTTTCTGTTTAAATAATCTATAATTGATTATATCTTTCCCTGTTCTTTTAATTCTTTTTTTTCTTTATCACTAAGAGTCCAAAATGTATCCATCTTACTTTTGTACCATCTTCTAATCTACAAATTAAAATAAATTATTTATTAAAAATAAAATTTTTTTTAAAACATAAAAATACATGTATACATATATATATATATATATAACTACCGGTATAAAACAATGATCTTTTTGATCAAAATCTGCATATAATACTAAATATACACCTGTAACTAAAAATAGTAAAAGCACGAATGAATCGATGAACTAAACTAATTAAATCAACTTGGTCAATTAGTTTTGAATGGAAGATAGTTTTCTTACCAATTGTTATTCCTACGCTAAATATATAATATGGCCTGGAATGTGGAGAAAAAAGTGGGGCCTTGTTAAATTTAATACTATTGTTACCAATAATCTGTTTACTACGAGCTTCTTGACGCAGTGTGTCAAGTGTATTGTTATTATTTTCAGAAGTCATTATTAATTTGTTAATATTTAATATTTAAAAAGCTTGTCAATTAATAAATTTTGCTTATCATCCAATCAAATTCGTTTGATATAGTAAAAATCTCCGTCGTATCATACATTATATTGAATGGATTCCATTTATGAATTCAAAAATATTGAAAATGTGGTTTTAGTGAAGTTCGTAAAGCAGTTTGGATTATCAGTGATAAAAATTAAAAAAGAATATATAACTCAAGTGATAAAATTTTATGATTTTCTCCCGCACTTTACACTTTAATTATATTCGTATATCGTCCTTTACAAAAAAAAATTACTCTCTGTATCTTTATTTTTTGCTCTAAAAACTTCTCGGCGCAAAATTTGAAGTACTGCGACAAATAATATCGCAATATTAATTACTTGAATTTCAACCTAACAGAGAATATGTGGTAATAATGTCGAAAAAAAGTGTGATTTGATCCAATCATTGGAAAATAGATGCAAGTTAATTTTATTTTATCATTGTTCGTGGAGGTTTCATCCAATGAATTGATTTGACCGAATCCAGTAAACCCTCATTTAATTCATCTAATTAATCAAATTTAAATGGAAGAAGAGTCTTCAGTCAATATAATAGGAGAAAGTAATAAATAATACAATAATTAGAAGGGATGAATTTTCTGCTGCTCATATTTTGAAGTAAAGGGTGGTTCTAAGAAGTCAAGTTTTAGATATGGAACTTGATGGAAAAGACTGAAATTGTAAAAGATGGAGAAAATTTAAAGAAGCTATTTGTCAAGTCAATGTCTCTGAAGTTTTGATATTATTTTTCCTTGTAATGTTTTAGTATGTGTTGGTGAATCTACATCTAATTATATTACACACTTAAAACTTGACCCACTCTTATTTGAAAAGATTGTTTTTTTTGATAAATAAATTTAGTTTTTGTTAACAATGAATATATTTTAATTATTCACCAAATGATTATCTGAATATTGAATTTAATTGATTGAATGGATATAAAACGAATGAATATTCAATGGGCACAACTTCTATTTGTTCGAACGTGTTTGTTGTAATTATCAGTTGATAGGTGCGATTATAGTAATTAATTAAATTGATTTTTAAAATGTTTTCATAAAAACAATGACATAACAACAATTATACTTCAGGATCGTTTAATAGTTTAGGATAAGTCGACATCAGAAATATTGCTTTACAGCCACACAAGATGGAAGAAAAAACGCTATAATTTTATTCTACAATACCTAAGGAACGATGTAATAAAGAGTTTTTCTAAAAAAAAATAGAACCTTTTACAAATTCGAGTTTCATCTGTTGGTTGATATTCTTCACTAACACATCTAAGCAAGTAAGGATTTTGACGCAGCACTCGATTTCTTCCATATTCTATTTTATTCCAATGCATCAAGTGCAAAGACTCTCAGCTGTTAGAATTATCGCTCATTTTCAAAGCACGGGAAGGACATAAGGTCATGGTCAAATTTGTCAAACTCAAACTGCAAAGAGTAGCTATATTTGCTTGGGTGACCGTGTGGGTTTCTCAGCTTTGACAAAATGGTTTTGAGAAAAGGGTGACAACTCGAGACTTTCCCAATTACTTCATATTTAAATAGGACCCTTGTATATATGACTATTCGAATCGGTACTGTTATATGTGAAATTGGAAATTAAAATCTATAATAACAATTAAATGTTTGGATGCGAAATTCCTTTTGATCGGGTTTATCTAATTTCACATATTAATATGTGATTTGCGAATTCCACATAGATTTCATTTAGATAGTGTCAAAATTCCCTTTATATATTTAATAAAAACGCGCATTTATACAACCTGTTAAAAATATTTTTAATATGAAATATACATTTTTCGAAAAATAAAATTTATCGCAATAATAATGTATGAAAAAATAAATTACAAAATCCAAGTATTTATATATTATATCAACTGCTTTTTTTTAACATCTTTGTAGAGTAAATACATTAGCGCATGTTCGATGCGTTTTCCGCTAAAATGTTCTGCACTAAAATAATGACCAGATCCAGCGGATATGGTATTTTGAACTACTGCAGTAAAAATTCGACGTTTATTTGGCTGATCTGGTGATTCATCAGAGTAAAGCACATAATAAGTTCCAGAGATGTGATCGTCCACCTCAGAATTTGTACGGACATTATCTTTTGTCCAGGCTGCACCTTTGGCATATGATATTTCTTTAAGTCTTGATTCAAGTAAACGTCTGACATTAGAGTCAAGATTGCTGAAAATATTTTCAATGAATCCATCAATGTCTGCTTTATTGTTATCAAGTATATAGACACCTGATTCGATACTCTGAGTGACACCTCCACTAGGACACGAGTATCCATGCACGGGACATTTCATGTTAAGAAGCCATTTATAATCATCTTCCATATTTTTATAACTTTCCAATTCTTTCCTTATCTGACTGAATAAAAAGGATATTATTATTATTTATAAAAACAGCAATATAGAATATAATAAAGAGAGAAATCGAAATGAAATAATTACCTTCTATGTATCGTAGGGTTTCTTGACAATTCTGTGATGGGAGGAGGAGGTTCAGGTTTCTCAGGAGGCCAATAACTTAAACCCAAAATCACAAAAATCACAATAGTCAATATATACACAAAATTATTGATTCTGGTTCCATGGTTATACATTATTGAATTAGAAATATGTATTTATAAGTGAATAACAGATCAGAATACACTCCTAAACGAATTATTTTTAATATTGTTGGAAGAGAAAAATTGCAGATCTTTATATAGATATAATGGTACAGGGGTCCATTGAGACCAATGAGTTTAGTCTGGTCCATTGCCGTTAATAACATACTATATATGGTTAAAATGTTACCATCAATGGTTTGGTACCATGGCCAACCAGGACCCCGCAAACTTTATAGATAGTAATAGGTCAGTAACAAAAATTCCTGTTTGTTATATGATTTAACCCAGACCAAAATTAAGTTTAATATATAACTTGACCCTATGATTTGCACATGATTTGACTCATAATATATACTCACATTAAAAATTTTGACTGTCTGATTTTATAATTTATAATATTTTAATGATTTTTTTAATATAAAATATTTATTATATATAAAATATTGGTTTTGTTTTTTGAAATGAGTACGTAAGGATAAAAATTTACACGAAAAATTTTCAGTTTCCCTAATACTAATAGTAATAGATCGTTGACTACTAATTTCGAGCGCTAATATCATTTCTGAATCTAGACTAGTTCATGAACGTTATGGCAGTAATGAAACCCAAAATCACATGAAGGCCCTTTTTTGAATGAGCGCATGGCGTAGTAATGGGAGGAGGCCTTTAGACCGAGCCAACCATATTGTTAATATTAATAAAAAAAAATAATAACAATAATAGTATTAACAAAATCCATTGTAACTATAGCCCTTAGAAATTTTATCATAAATTTGTTCATACCCTAAAATGTTGCACAAATCGGTGGATAAATTCAAATTCAAATTCTTCCATCTTTAAATAATATTGAGATGTACTAATTTTTTTTCAATTAAAAGAACCAATTTGTATATTAGTTAGTATTAGTCATCATATTGTACTTTGCATTATGTACAACACCAATTGCATCATACGATTTTTAATTTTGACAACATGTTAAGAATTATAATTTCCTGTAGTTAGTTGAGTGATAATACTAGAAATTGAATAAGGTTGAACTTTAGAATTAATTGATGAAATATCTGGAATGGAGGTAGCTGGTATGGATTAATTTATTGCTATTATCAGTACCAAAAAACGAATGTTTATCAATTATTCAATAATTATATAGGCGGGTTTGATCGAAGTAAGTGTTGGTCAAGATCTATGAAGCATGCAAAACAAATGTTTATCAATTATTCAATAATTATATAGGTGGGTTTGATCGAAATGAGTGTTAAAGACAATTTATACATTTTATTTATTATTTATTTAAACAATAATTATTAATTATTAATGAAACTAAAATTCAGAAATATAAAACAATAATAAAATACCTTTTAGTTTTTGCTGAATCCCATCATAAAATTTATTTTCACATGTACGACTATTCGTGTTACTTGTAAATTATTTCCGGTTTATATATTAATTTCCCATGATTTATAATTTATTATTTTACGCTACCACTTGTATGATTGATTCAATCATTAATGGCAAATAAACAAATGATAGAGATTAATACCATTCATTGCAAGAGTGGAATAAAATAATTACTTTTTGAATATAATTAATTATATATCTTGGTTAGATAAAAAATAAACATGACTTAGCTTTTTGTCGTTATTTAATCCTTTCTTCATATATGAATGCCTCCATCTATCAAATATTCATGATGATCATGATTATTATTCAATACATTTGATATCATCATTGACATAACAAACAATTACACCACCTAGGTAGTAACAATACCAAGACCATGCATAAATGAACTTTTAATAATGTCTGTCTACTCAGATCTCTCTGGAGTTCACAAAAATAAATAAATAGGGAGGATCAAAAAAAGATTATAGTTCCTTAAAAATCACAAATAAATCTGATGTTGATCACAGGTGTCAGATTAATTAAATTTTCCTATCACAAACATGCAAGACGGTACAATTAAGCACAATTCAGCACCATGGAATTTTTTTCCCACAGGTGAAACAGACTTAAACATGTTGAAAGGCTTTGGACAAAACTTTCCCTTATCATCCCCTCAGACAGGCTTGACTGTTACCATATGGACATTGATAATGTTGAGGATAAACATTTGCGTGATGATTGCTTTGTGTTATACCTCTCTCACTAGAATAAAGTTGGTGTCTGCGACTAATTTGAAAATTCAGCAACTTGTGAAGTTGCTGTTTTGGATTTTCCCTGAATTCAGAGTTTTGAGTCCTGGGCTGCTGTCATGTTGGTGGCACACCTACTCACCAACAACCCACTCCAGCTAAATAACAAATTCAGTTGGTCAAATAGAAATCAAAGAGAAACAGAGAATATGATTAATTTATACATAACATACCAAACAAAATCCAAACCATTTGATTTTACAGCCTTCCTCCCAACATCAGAACCCAAATGCAATTTCAAGGTCATCAACCCTGCAACCTCCTGAGCTTGAAACGAGTTGCAGATTCTCTTAATATTCCTCCAAAGTTGCGACTTAGTTGCAGAGTCATCCTTACCCTAGAGGTAGGATAGTTGCAGATGACTTTTCGGCTAACGTGCCAGCAGCCTTATCTGGTCTGGATGCTGTGAGGGAAGATTAGTGAAAGTGTCATTAACGATTGATGCAGTCTCGGTAAACCCCAGGGCCTTGCGCTCCTCCCTGGATTTCAACATCATTGTATCATTGGGAGCACCGTGGTCAGATTAGCCTTGTGTACACAAGGAAGATGAGAGAATGACTGTAAAGTGTTCAAGGTAGCGTGCGTGCTTCAACGTCTGCCAATTTCCGATAATCAAACATCGCATATTTGAATTGTTTCTTTTTAAATGGTGTATTGCCTTGACATCTTGTAATTATATATTAATAATATTATTATTATTACGATTACGCAAAGCAAAATACCAATCATTTATTATCATCTTGATAGGAATCTTATAATTGCCCAGCAAGATCTCTCCGCGTTTTGATTCCAATTAAAATATTTATAAACTAAATACCAATACAAATAAAAAAAAGTACCTCTGGTTAGTTATTAACACGTTTTCTTTAGGAGACCTAAACCAAACCAAACAACAACACTCACGTTTTGTCACCTTGGACTCTGTCAAAAAGTAAATTGTTTTTTTGCTTTTCCAAAAAAAAAAATAATAATAATTAATGTGTATGCGACGATCAAATCACAAACTTCTTTTTTTTAAAATATTAATATAAAAAAATGCCATGTCAAAAAAGAAGCCAAAAGAATGATCAATGGAGATGCGTTGGCTGGGTAAGTGTTTATTAAAGGATGGTGGTGGTGGTTATCGCCCGCCACTCGTCGTCACTAATTATATTATTATATTAGGAATTCTCATTTTTTACCACAAAAATATAGTATCGGAAGGAAAGAGTTTGCGTTTTTTGCAAACATACCAGTTGAGCTCTTTGTCCAAATTTGTGAAGATTTACCACCATCCAGTTTCTTGGCACTGGCGCAAACATGTCCAAGATTCCATTTTATCTTAATGGATACATGTAATGCAACCCAACAAATTTGGAAAAAAATCAAGATTGGCTTATTTTAAAGGATTGAAACGACCACCACCACCAAACTGGAATGAATTACAATATATTAGATTCTCCATCGCTTCACCTTAATCCTGCATAGTTTGTGGTGCAATTAAAATGACTGTAATATATTGGCAGTTTTATCCAAGATACTGCAATATATGTCATTATAAAAAAACAATCAAGTAATTATATAACATTTAATTTAATTGATTGATTAAAACAGATTTATTCATTTATCTACATTTATTTATTTAACAATTTCAGAGGAGAGACTATTAGAGCTATTATTAGAAATCTTAAAGAAAAGTCTGCTGCTAGTCATAAAGAATAAAGTAAAAAAAAGGCTTAATGATCAAATAGAATTCATGTGTGAATGTGAGACTCGCAATAGAGAATACATGATGCATACGAGGGAATCACGAGGACTTATTGAAAAAATGAATAAACTTGTTGGTAAAATTCTTGAGGAGGGGAAATTAACATTAAATTACGAATTGTATTATATTCAAACTAATTTCACTTCATACAAAAGAGCAATCTCCAATCTTTATGAGGTTGATGAACATCAAATTATCTATGAAGCAGAAAAACCATGTTGACAGGAGCTTATCTTGAAACACATGTTAAACAAATGGCCTTGTGATGGACGCAAGGGACAAATTGCTGAAGCTTCCCTTGATGAGATAGATAATCCTTTTAGATACTCTCAAGTCGATCTCTACAATTGCCGCAGCTATAGAGATCCACAAGTATGTCAAGGTGCCCTTACACTATTTACTCTGAGATATCTTGAAAAGAAAGTAGTACCGGTTTTATTTTTGAACAATTACAATCTTATTTGCAAAACAAAATTATAAATAAAACTCCAACCCTTGAACTCAGATATGATTTTTTTTTTGGTTCACAAGTGGGAGATATGAAAAATTACATCATTACACGTACAACTATTCAATTCAATGCACCTAATAAATTTTAATTCATAACTAGTCACTATAATTTAGTCCCCTGAAATTTCTTTAAAAGATAAGTTTATTATAATATAAAATTATATATATATATATAAATTTGTAGTTTTCATAGTTACAATCTAAAATTAATATAATAAAATCCTTTACTGCCACCAAATCTAAGTTATTCCAAGAAAATAAAAAAAATTTCCTATCAGCACAAAAAATATATATAACCTTCCACCAAACACAATGTACAAAATTCATGATCTTTAAATAGCAAAAGCAAAAAAAAACAGCCAAATGAAAAATAACTGCATGACAGCTAAAACTCCTATAAAATAATAAAAATAAATCTAAGTATGTCATTATTTAATACAATTAATTAAAAAAAAAAATACTCACCCAATATGCATTGACATCTAATGCCCATTGGAATTTTTCCTGAAGGCTTTTGTTAAAAACCTTATGAATTGGTACATTATATTTTTTAGACCATGCAAATGAAATGCGTGGGTCTATATAATTGCCTTTTGATGTACCCAGTATTTTCTTATCATTATTGATAAAAAATCTAATAAATTTTATCTCCTGCACATGTATATATTTATGTGATTAGCTTCTACCACCATTGGCCTGCAATTGTCATATAGTCTTCATCTTGTTTTGACAATTCGGTAGTACTCCGGAAGAAAAAAGGCTCCGTTATGAACGACAAGTAGTGGCAACCATCACCTTTTAACATTTCCTGATGACATTTTTTTTTTATTAAAATAAAAAAAATAAAAAAAAATTTGCATTAATTATTTATTATTGGCACTTGGTGTTGCACAGATTTTTTTTTGTTGACGTGATTTTTTTTTTGTTGACGTGATTTTTTTTTGTTGACGCGATTGATTTTTTTTTCTTGGAAAACAATTTATTACAAGATGGCAAAACGTGAAGACGTGTTAATAACTAACCAGAGGTACTATTTTTTACTTGTATTGATATATATATATATTTAGTTTATAAATATTTTAATTGGAATCAAAACGTGGAGCAGATCATTACTGGGTAATTATAAGATCCTTGTCAACAACGAATGATTGATATTTTGCTAAAGCTCCGAACGGTTCGGTTTTTCGGTTTACATTTGAACCAAAAATTTCAGGTATCCTAAATTCGTTAACTATGCAAAAATAAACATAACATAATAACTTATAATGACTTGTGGCTGAATGTAAGTTGCGAAGTTTCTATATACATGAAGTTATAAAGGATTTTGGACATTTAAAAATCCGTTATAATAATAATAACAAATTTATTAGTCACGTTATAACGGATTTCAAAAATGTTAAAAGTCGTTATAACATGTATAAATTTTTTACTATAAATATATAACAAAAAAAATTTTCACACTCACACAAATATATTTTTTTTAAACCAAATAAGGATTTTACGTTATAGAGATATTGTATATAAATTCTTTTTAAATAATAATAATAATGGACTTCCCTGATTCTTTTTTTATAATTAATTTTTCTCTCTACATTCAGAACTCAACAAGACGATGCTTTGATAAAATAAATACACATGATAAACCAATTTTTTTTATTATCTACTTATTAAAAATCATCTCTATAAGCCGATTTTATTAAGGTTTTTTAAAACTGAAGATTTTTTTGTGACTTCGGTTTAACTAGCTCTGCATGTATAACAAACATCTTCTATAACGAACAAAGGTGAAAATTCATTGTAGAGAGAGTGAACTTTTCATAATATAAATATGAAGATCTAGCCAAACCAAAAAAGTTCGGTTTGACTTTTAGAAACCGAAACCGAACCGAAATTTTTCAGTTTGAACCGAACCGTTCGGAGCTTTATATTTTGCTTTGTGTAATCAATATTAATATTATTATTATTATAATTACAAGATGTCAAGACAGTATACCATTGAAAAAGAAACAATTTGCCCAAAATTTAGGAGGTCTTTAGACCAAGTCAACTATAGGATGATGAGAATAAGGGTCATCCTTTGCTGGCAATGTTGAATAAGAGGATGGGTAAGATTATCTTTTGGCTGATATAAGAACCAATGGTTATCATTGGTGGAAAGTACACCATGCTGAAGTTGAAGGGTTTCTGCTTTGAAAAAGTATAATCTGATTCCCTTCTTGTTCCAATGCTCATATGCTCAAAAGATCATCCATCCTTAATGCATATCAGTATATTTTTTGTAAAATTTGGCTCATTGAATCTTTTGATTGATAATTTTGATAGAATGTAAAATGATTAATAAATTTAAAATTTTTGTTAACAATGAATATTCACTGAATAATTAATTTGATGATCAAATGAATATCTGAATATTTACCAAATAATTATACTACACCTTATTTACTTGGTACTTGGATGCTATTCATTGTTTTTTTCATTTTTGATAATGCAGAAAATGCATCCTTGTCTATAGGACGTTTTCCCATAGGCTCATTCACAGTCTTGTTCTTGATGATTTTCCACAAGCTTGGAATTATTAAAAATTACATCTACTTTTTTTAATATCATGCTATAGCAGAAAGAAAAATAGGGTGAGAAAGTGTTTTCCAGATAGTAGAATGAAAGTTAAGATCAGAATGGCTAGATATGGAAAGCACACAAACAGCATGACTTCTTTGTTATGTATAAAGGAAGACACATAACAAATCCCTTCTACAGGATCAGTAGGCATTTATCAAAGAAGTCATGTTTGTGGACCACATCTAATTCAGTACTTGTAAAGATTAGTAGCCTCCCCCTAGTCAGGATGCAGCTTAAAAGAGTTACAAGAGCCTGGCAAAGAAAAAGCATAGCCACTTGTAGAGATACTTCTATCTCACTCTTGTCAGGATACAGCTTTCAAGAAGTGCAACAGCCTGATAAGAAGCCACCATTTCAATTACATCTCTATATCCAACTAACCTTCTTCTTCTCCTTTTCCAAGAATCTTTCTGCACACTTGCAGACTTCTTGTGTAGAAGTTGTATCTTCTTTAATTGAGCATAAAGTATGGTAAAATGAATGTACATTTTATCCTTGTCCACATTAAGGTTTCCGGCCAAAATTGCTGAAACACTGGCAAAAATTACTTTTTTATAAGCCCAAACTATTAGCCAAATTGGGCGTAATTACTTTAAAGTTGTTTGGTATAATTTTTTAATGTTTATGTTTATAAAAAATATTGAGAAGCCCAAATTGCCCAAACTAGTTTGGGCTTTGAGAAAACAGTTTGTACCGGAAACCCTAGTCCACATTTTCACCATTAAAAATAATACAGGCAGTATAGTTTTTTAGTGACAAGGAAAATATTTTTTAATCATGGAAGTAGACATACCAAGGAATTATGAATCAGAAATCTAATAATTTTTATTTACTAAAAAAATCTAACATCACATACTGATTATCTAATTACCTGATTGATTATGCAAAGAAACTATCAAATTTGACATTTAAAAAAAAAATAAAAATAATGGAGAAGAATAAAATCAATATATTTACAGGCTTTCTTCTGATTTTCACAATTAGCAGCCAAGGGATTCATTGGAGGTAAATATTATTTTATGTACTTGTAAAAGACAATTACAGAAGATCAAGGTTATGGATTAAATGAAAGACATCAAAAAATAATGGGAATTCCTTTGTTTATGAAAATGCAATAATATCCAAAGAGGATGGAGATATGGACAAGACTAGTATCAAGGAAGTTAGAATGCACCTCAAAGAGACAGACATTGATATGGATATTGATAATTACATTTAATCTAGCGAAAAATTTTTATATGTGAAATTATTATTTTAAAAATTGTGATAACTATATCTTTATTATTTATATGAATGCTTCCCGGAGTAGTAAGTGTTCAAAGAGAGGGATTACGCTGGTCCCTAAACCATAAAATGGCGGTTCCATCTTACTACTTCATACTATCTATCCATGAACCAACCTGGTCCATTTCTATTATAAAAGTTTTTTATTGTTGTCTATCTCCAAGTTTTATGAATGCATAGAGCTACGGAATAACACATTTTCTCAAAAGTGTGACTTCTCAGAACCATATCCATATCAAAGGTTTGTTTAAAGCATGTCCAGACAGTTAATGAAATTCCTGAAAATGTTTGCTGGTTTGAGTCTATAGACAAAAAAGTTAAACTAGACAGTTTTTTATTTATACTAGCAGAGGAATTAGGAGAATCAAAAGAAATAGCAGATGAATTCGAAGAAGCTTCAGATAGTTTTGTTTCACTTTGGTGATCTTGTTCGATTCTTTGGATAATTGCATATTGTTAATTGAATAGGTTATGGAATGTTGTGATAGATTTGTTAATTGAATCGAATTCAGTTAAAATTCTACTAAAATGATTATTGTATATAGCATTCAAGAACTTGTTCAATTTCACCAAGTCTCGTGGCAAAAGAATTAACCAACAACAAGATTCTTTGCACCTCTGCAGTAAAGATATAGCACTTTTGTAAGCTTATCGCTCTGAAGAGATTAATTCCAATTATATAATTCGGACGAGAGAAAAAGGCTTTACATTAGTTGATTGTCCTTGCTTTTAATACTGAAAGAGTACTAATATGGAAAAATGCATTTTCCTATACCTATTCCGTGCCTTTATGCACATGGTTTATAATAATATCATATTCCGTCACAATGTCCGTCCGCATTAGAGTTCCTAATTGTCAATGATCGACATATACAAATTTGAGTTTCGCGTCTGCCATATTAATATAATAATATAATAAGGTATTTTTCAGAAATTCATGTTATGATTTGTTTATTTATTAATTATAAGATTGGTAAAATTTTGCACTTGGTGCAACATTTTTTGCACCATGATGGTATGGAGTTGTATTAGTAAAATCGATCACTAGGGCTCTCTGGCCAAATTGAGATTTTTACTTGCAATATAAGGATTATATTTGGTGAAAAAATATACTGCTCGCATAGCATGAAAATGAGATTGACCAAAATAAAAAAATCAGCTGAGGGTCAAATCACATACATGTTGGTGGATTTGGTTTTTGGGCCGTAAACAAGTCTCTAAAATTACCAAGTTTAATAGCAACTTTCTTCTTTATTCCTCTTTAAAAATTAAATACACTTTTCTACAATAATCACTCTTGATCAATGAAATATCGTTTACGAATTTAGTCAGCACTGGTTATAATCAAACCAAAAATTTCAGTTTATAAAAAATCATGCAACAACATTTTTTATATATTCTTTTATACAAATGTAAACTCGATAAGTCGGTCATGTGGGGTGAGCTCATATGACCTACTTATCGAGTAAACCGACTTATCGAGTGACCGACTTATCGAGTTTACATACGTATATGTAATTTGTATTTTTTTCAAGGCATATTTGCATGGAAAACTGTTAACATTTCATATAACATTCCATATACTTTACTGTTCTCAATGCATACTTTCTTATTTGTTTCAATTAAAGCCCTAGGTATATTTTCTTGTAAAGCCTTTCAAGGAATAATCGCAATGTTATATTACATATCTTTTGGTAGCACCCGAATACATTTCTATGTAACTCAATTCATAATGGAATTTTGGATAAAACCAAAGGATCAAATGGACTAAGGGAAATATGATAAATATTGAGATTTGTTAATCAGGCAGTCATGTGGTATAACATTGAAAATTTAATCAGGGCGACTAATTGCGGCGTATAAAAATTGAATTGCAATTAATTGCAGCATATAAAATTGAATTGCGGCATATGAAATCAAATTGCAGCTAATTGCGGTTCCCATCTTTAAATCCTGATCGAACTTTCAACACTGATTATAGATATGGAGAGACTTTTCTCGGAATAATCTATTTTTAGGGGAAAAAAATATAATCTTTTTATATGTGATTTATTCGTGAAATTTTTAGCCAATGTATTATGCTCGTAAAACAACTTTTAGATTAAAGAGTCCGAATATAATGAAAAATTAATTTCAGCATGTTGCCCATTAATTCATTATTTAACTAATATCTATATGAAGACATATGCAGTTAGGGTATTATTTTATAATTAGTATCAACGACTAATGTCATTACTACTCAACATTCACAATTGTAATATTATCATTTATGGTTAATAGTTTAATTGCTATCAATTTTTATTTAATACATATTTCAAAAATAATAATAAAATTTATTTGTATATAGATAAATATTTATGTGAGAGAGGCAAGAAGGAAAATTTCTAATGTATAAGGAGTTTATTTTTAGCCTCTTTGTAAAGTAAATATTTTAGCGCATTTTTGATGCGTTCTTCTTGTCCGTTAAAATACCCTGAAATAAAATAATGACCAGGGCCAGCAGATATGCTATTTTGAACTATTGCAATAAAAAACCGACGTTTTGACTGGTTTTGTATTTTATCAGAGTAAAGTGCATAATGAATTCCAGTGATAGAACCGCCCACCTCAAAACTTGTACTGAGTTCATCCTTCGTCCATTCTGCACCCTCGGCATATGCTATTGCTTTGAGCTTTGCTTCAAGTAGAGATCTGACTTTACGATCCTCGAGATGGCCAAAAATATTTTCAATAAACCCATGAATATCTGCTCTATTGTCATCAATTACATAGACACCTGATTCGATATTCTGAGTGATACCACCACTAGGGCACGAATATCCATGTGTGGCACACCTCATGTCAGTAAGCCATCTGTAATCACCCTCCATATTTTTATAAAGTTCTAATTGAGTTCTTAGACTGAATAAAAAGGATTTTATTATTATTCATAAAGACAGAATATAGAGTATAAAGAAGTGAGATAATCACCTGTGAGGCAATACTTCTTGACTATGACATAACACCAATTCTGGTAAAAATGTTAAACAAATAGTCACAATAAACAACATATTCAAAAAATTATTGGATTTAATTTTAATTTCGTGTTTATACAGGGCTGAGATCAGAAAGATAGCATCCACGCATAGAAACATGTATCTATAAGCGATATTAACAAATCCAAATGCACTCCTAACAAATGAATTAATTAAATTAATAATCGATTAAAAAAAGCTAGGAAATTTAATTATATATAATTTACAAATAAGTCAACCATTGAGAATCATCACTTTTGATAACTTTGAAAGGTTCATGAGCTAACATAAGATCAGGAGAGAAAGAGAATTTATTAATATTTTTTTTTATAGCAAAATTTAAAAATCAACAACTAAAGAATTTAAATACCAGTATAAAACCATCTGATAAGGTTCAAAATAAGTACGAATCCAATAACGCCAACTGCGAGATAAGTTTTTGGAGCTCCAGTCATTGGATATTTTATTGCTTCTTTTCCAGCTTGGAAATTGTAATCTTTGAATTTGTCATTACGATAATTCATTTTTTATTTGTCTCTTTTAGATAAACAATAATTTTAATAAATTGTAGATAAAGAGGAAAAGTGAAGAGTCTTAAATGAGCATGCAGATCACTAATCTTTATATAGATATAATGGCAATATAATGTTTTTGTAAGTGATGTACAACTCGGCTATAGTAGATGGATAGATATTGTGGTCATGACATACTTACCGGTTCGAGGCATTGTCCATTCTTAATTCCATATCAAAATGAATTATTATCTCGTCCAACTATATATAAGTCCCAATCATAATAGATCCAAATTGATCTCCTGCTAATGATAATAATAGAACTTCTTCAACGGTCAATCTCGATGTTATTAGTAAGATTAAATCACGCATGCTTTGTAAAATATGTTTCTGAAAAAAAATTTCTTTTTTTATTATTATTGGTTAACTTATCAATATGCAAAAAGAAATATACTGCGTATTAATTAAGTGACAATGATAAATTATAGAACTTGAAACCGATAATCGTGAAGCGCATTATCAATTTGATATAATGAATATTATGAGATTAACATTCTCTTGATAATCAGTTTTAGTATTTGGTTCAATGTTTGTATAAAATCCAACCCCATTATCAGATGAAAATAGCGTAATGTATTTTTCCATATTTAAATCGGATCATGTCTATAAAATGAATTGTTATAAGTAAAGGAAGCTGATGCAAAGTCAAAATTAAAATTGGCCATTATTGAGATGTTGACTTGGCCTTTTTATTTAGCAGTTTTATTATATGATATAGAATCATGGTTTAAAAGACTGGGACTGGACCGTTCATCCTTATACAAAATTGGACTAGTTGGGACCGAAAATTGTAAATGAACAATTAATTCGCGGGGTCCATAATTGTAAAACACACAGTTCATAGATAAACATAATAAAATTCCAAGTTTATAAAACATAAGTTTCATATTTGGAACGGCAACTCTGTCTGTACATAGCTTTCCTTTTATTTTATATATTAAAGTTCAATTTTAATTAGTCAATCCCCGAATTTTATATGCCCCAAATGTTCTGTGAATTAATTAAGCCCTTGTTAGTTATTTTATATGGATTATATTTCTTTTTTTAAAAAAAAATATAACAAAGACCTGCCTGGCCATACTGACTGTTTAATTCGTTGTCTGCTGATCAACACTATAATAAAAATGGGCGATCGACATATATGAATTTAAAAAAATGATCAAGTGACAAAGGTTGCATATTATAAAATTTGTATATATATATATTAATATATTAAAAAATATACTTTCATTATCAGGGCTCACCGTCTAACCTAAATGGGCATTTGGTTAAATTGACTAAACATATTTAGTCATTATGTTAGTCAAGTTTAGTCAAGACAATTATTACCAAATAAAGATTTTAACCCTTTAGGACTTGGTTTTCTTTTCTTATATTAAAAAAAATAGTTTGCTCTTGGGCAGCTGTGGATTCCACGTAAAATGCATAAAAAATAATAGAATTTGCAACATTTTTTTTAAAAAAAAAACTTATCACGAACTATTCATTGTTATTATTATCAATTCAATTTTGCATGTAACTATTTATTTTTCCACTCCAATGCAAATTGGCAAATATATTACACTAGATAATAATTGAAATTAAAAAATAATGAACAATTTTGGATTCTGTAACCTCTTAAATTTTAATAAATAATACGTGGATAAATTGAAAAATTTTAAAATTTGACACGTTTTTGAAATTGGCCACGAGGCGCAGTAAATGGTGGTTAAGGGTCCCGCACCATTTGATAAAATGTAATAAACCAATAAAATAATTAATTAACTCACGGGAATTATAAAGAAAGTAACATTTTTTTTTAATTAGATTAAATTAAGAGTTTTTAGATAATTGAACTTTTAACTAAGGCTCCAACCAAATCTAATTGAATTGATTCCTAAATTTTATATTAAATTTATATTACACAATGAATCTCAATGTAGTGTATGTGTATCTCAATTTAGTGGATACTAATGGATTGAGGTTTAATAATAAAATTCTTCTCCATATAACAAATTACTTGATACAGTCAAACCTTGTCACAGCAGATGAATGAATGGGACACATAAGAAAATTTTATTTAAAATCCATTGTGGCAAGGTTGCTAATCTTGCCACAACAGATTTATATGTGAAGCAAAAATTTAAAAATCCATTATGACAAGAATTTAATATTAATTATTATTATAGTCTTCTGTGAGAAGGCTTGACTGTATTAATTACTTCACATTCATGGTGTCAATTATGTGATTGGCAACAAAACATTAGATGAGTTGATTAAAAATACAACTTAAAGCAACTATACATTCTAATAAATATTATCTTGAATGGATTCCTTATAACAATTTAACAAATATTGAAAAGATGTGAAGGTGGTTTTTTGCAACTGTATACCAAGCTACTTGGTTATAAAGATGTAGTTCACAGAAAAAGAATAGGAATGTGACATTAAAAAAATAGTTCATAAAATATTCCTGATGAATTTCTTAATGAGCAAAATTATTTTATTATATTTTTTATTATCCCCCAAATAAAATTATGTCACATCTGTTATAGATTTATTAATTAAAAAAATTTTTTCACTTGTTCTAAAAGTGGCATTATTTACAAGGCAAATTTATGGTTATCCCCAAGGTAGGATAGTCCATGTCTATGTCAACAATACTGGTTATATAAATAAATACAATAAGAAATGAAAGTATGAGTATAATATTAAATAATTCACATAATATCATGATACATATATATTTAAAATTACATTGTAATATTTTAATGTATAATTTTCAGAGTTCTGAAAGTTCTTTGACTTTATTATCAAAATATTCTTGCAAGAAATCAATAGTACTGGGATGACTGAAAGAATTATTGTCTTCATTTTTTTGTTGCCCATAATTTTCCTCTCTATCAACTTTATCAACTATATTTGAGCCTGAAATCATTACATTAAGCATTTTTTCAACATATTGAATATCAGGCCTGCTTTTTGGGTCATCCTGCCAACATGCTAGATACAAGTAAATTATCAAAAATTTAATGTATTTAAATATATAGTTTTTAAATACATATATAGATTTTTTACCTTTGTATAAATTAATGTATTCATCAGGTGTATTAGGAATAGGTTCCTCACGAAATCCTTGAGAAATATCAAACATTAAAGCAGCATGTTGTTGATGATGATTACTAAAAGGTGGTTTGTTACTAGTCAATTCCCATAATAAAACACCCACACTGTATACATCTGATTTTTTATTTGGCT